TTTTTGCGAAACTATCTTTTATTGCTTTTTTTTTTATTTATGTTGCATCGTGGCGTGGCTAGTAGTGCTAAATAACTGATTTTATTTCTTTTCTTTCTTTTTGTTTTTTAAATTGGAAGTTAATTTATAGTCTGAAATTGTGTCCGGAATCAGACCATCCTAATGCAAATTGCACATGCCGATCGAACTATAATAATATTTAAATACCTATTGCTTATAATAGAACGACATTGAATATAAAATAATTAGTTTCACCTTTTACAAAAATGGCTATTAGATGTCGTTTATATTCATAATAAAATAAGTGTAATATATTTAGTAATACCTTTAAAATTGCATACGAATAAATCGGTCATCGACCCCCATCAAATCTTCAAAGTGATAGATAAAAATTTAATTACCTGTCTAGAACAATCATGATGACAGACTCTGTAATTGACAGTTAATAGCAATACCATTTTCGAATAATCGAGTGACTCATTTGACCAAATTCTAATTATTTTCCTTAATTTATGTTATACTAGCTTTTACCCGCGGCCTCGTTCGCGTTACAAAAAGATAAAAAGTAGGCTGTGACATATACCAATACACACAGCGCCATCTATACCAATACTTTTGTTTTCCCTCGGGAATATCAAAGTTTTCCGGGATAAAAAGTACCCTATTATTTAATCCGAACTTTTAAGTTTACGTCTGCAAAAATTCAAAGCAATCGGTTTAGTAGTTACGGCGTAAAAGCGGAACAAACAAACAAACAAACTCACATTCCGATTTATAATATTAGTAAGGATATACGCGCAAGTTGAAGTGGCAGTGGGCAGGGGACATAGCGCGGAGAACCGACGGCCGCTGGGGCAGAAAGGTTCTCGAGTGGAGGCTACGTACCGGCAAGCGCAGCGTAGGACGTCCATCCGCAAGGTAGACAGACGAAGGGGACGAAGGTCACAGGGAGCTGCTGGATCCAGGTCGCTTCCAACCGGCCTATCTGGAAGTCATTGGGGGAGGCCTATGTTCAGCAGATACGTCCTGTGGCTGATATGATGATGATGGTGATGAATAGACCGACTTGACATCTCTAGTGATCTCGTCCGAGTCGTTATAGTCATATTAAACTGTCAAACACCAAGCGGTCACCGGTGACCGCGACCTATTGTTCTTTAATTGTGTCTATAAAACCGGTACTCGACGAGTTAAAGAGCTGACAGAGTGAAATATCGTATGGGTCATGTCTGTCGTCGCGGCGTCTGCAATGTTTTTCGGTTGTATCTTCTACTACATTTTATGACCACATGGTAAAAAATTTCATGCAGCCTATCATCTGTGGGAGTTCGTTTATCGTGTCTTGTGAATCTCGAAGGAACTCTCAGATTTTTACTGATAAAACTTGAATGACGTAGTCTACGGATACTGTCTCAAAGTATCATCAGGTGATATTTGGTAGGTATTTTAAGATGCTATATTTTAATGTTATATAGAATTTAAAGTAGCTGGCAGGCTTTCACAAAAATGCCAACGGAATGTGGGAGAGCCATGCTTCGGCACGTATGGGCTGGCTCGACCGGAGTGATACCATAGGCTCCCAAAAAAACCAACGTGAAACAACGCTTGCGTTGTGTTTCGTCGTGTGAGTGAGGTTACCGGAGTCCCAATTACACCCCGCCCTAGTCTCCCGAATCCCCGTATCCTCCACAATCCTAAAATTCCCAATTCCCAAAAGGCCGGTAACGCACTTGTAACGCTTTGGTGTTTCGGGTGTACATGGGCGACACCGATTGCTTACCATCAGGTGATTCGTCTGATCGTTTACCGGCTTTTGCTATAAAAAAAAGAGTAAAAGATGCGATCGTATGTGATCGTACGTTTCTATGAACCAAGCTGTCCTCGAGAAAATCAGATCACAAAAATAATATTCTCCTGTTAAATACCTGCTCAATCCCTAAGCAGTCACCAGTGACCGATCTCCACTAACTGCAATATACACCCTATCTCCGATGTTTGGAGTCTACTTTTGTATGGACAAATTTTGGGTACGATACATCAACGTAATATTCTAACACTATTTACATACCTACCTACTAACATAACATAACATCCCTGAAGGGGTAGGCAGAGGTGCACACAGAAGTAACACCTGCTTTTCACTATTTATGTTATGAGTCACATGTAATAGGGGGTGAGCCTATTGCCATATACCGGGCACATTTCCAGACTCCGTACTACAACTGAGATTTTTTTTAAAACCCCAGTAATACTTTGCCCGACCCGGAAATCGAACCCGAGACCCCTTGCCCGGCAGTCGAACTTGCGACCACTCGGCCATCGGGCCAGTCACATCACACCTACCTACTATTGTGTAATAAGTATAACGTGTTTGATACTATTAACGATCAAAATCTGTACTTAATTCATGAGAACATGTTCCATGAAAATTAATTCAGCAAAACGTGAAATAAGAAGGTCATAGAATTATCTTTATTGTTTTACATAAATATGTATAATTATTCCGCCGTCGAATTAGTGTTTTAAAATAAAATTAGTATAGTTATTATCACAAGGGAATTTATTCCTAAATATACTTAATTACGCATGCGTAGCGGATATCTATATAGAACACGTGATACAATAAAAACTATTTTATATTATAACTTGCGCAGTTATAAAAAAGACAATAGTTTTGATGTTTATTATTTTTTTCACCATTATTAATAACGAGCTGTTTCCGCGCGGTTTCACACGCTCTGCTCAGCTCCTATTGGTCGTAGCATGATGTTTTATAGCCTATAGTAATCCTCGATAAATGCACTATCCAACACAAAAAGAATTATTCAAATCAGACTTGTAGTTACGGAGATTAGCGCGTTCAAACAAACAAACAAACTCTTCCGCTTTATATAATAGCATAAGATAGTGATTTGCGTTAGACTTTTCCTTTAAGCAACAATAAGCATGCTGTAAATACAACACTTTACAGGTCAGCTGAGCTGAGCTTCGGCACGGCCTCACTGAAAACCGACGTGAAACAACGACTGAGATTACTGGAGGCCTAATAATTCCCAGTCTCCCCAATCCCCGAAGCCGCCACAATCCTCAAATTCCTAATTCCCAAAAGGCCGGTAACGCACTTGTAACGCCAGTGGTGTTTCAGGTGTCCATGGGTGGCGCCGATTGCTTACAATCAGGCGATCCGTCTGCTCGTTTACTGGCTCAGCTTATGAAAAAAACAATAATATAATTCGTAAAACACTGTTTCTGTAATAAAATAATGTCGTTTATTTAGAAAAGGAAGCATTCAGAATTAAAGCATCATAATATCTGAATAGCTGCTATGTGTCAGATTTCAATTGAGATCTTATTAATATTTTTATAAACTAGCTTCTGCCCGCGACTTCGTACGCGCAATCCCGTTATGTCCCGTTCCCATAAGATTTTCAGGATTTTTTTTCTACTATAAGAACCTTCTCCTGACAATAACAAACACAACAAAAAAAAAATCAGCCAAATCGGTCTAGCTATTCTCAAGTTATGGCGTGACAACGGTAAACGGGTTTCATTTTTTTTTTATATAAATATATAGTTTTGTCACATAACTTTATTGGGTACTAATAAAGGTGATGAAACCAACCCTAATTCTACTCTAGTATTAATGCAGTAGTTTCAAATCAGTATAGGCAGATGAAAAGACTTTTGTTTATAATTTATGTATACATATGATTTACTGTTGATAGAATTAGGTATAATAGTATAGATGCCTAATTTTTATTTTAATGGTAGTTAAATTATCTAAAATCATTAGACACGAATTTTTTATTTTCTTACAGAAACAAATAGTTTCGTCGATATATTGATTTGAAATATCGCGTGACGTCACTTTTGTGTAAGTTTTATACTCAAAAGTGACGTTATCTCCCACTTCTAAACTTTGATACGTTTTATCTAAGTATTGATTTTTATATGAAAAAAATAAAAAAATACGTGTCTATTATTTTTTCATTACCTAACTGACGGACTAATTAGATTTTTAATTTTCATACCCTGTCATCATCCCTATGACACACGTAACTTTTACCACAGGTTTTTATAGTCAACGTTTCTAAAGGCCTTTTTAGAGGGAAAATCGTTGAATGATTCCTCCTTGGATGAGAGGAAATGATAACTCTTACTGACTAAAAGAACCCCGTTCCAATTCCCGCTCCAAGCTTGGCTGCAGTATATTATTGCGCTTAACTCCCAACTCAAAGTAATTTAGATTCAATACAAGAATTTTGATTCAAGAAAATACATGTAGGTACTCTTGGACAAAAATTATCATATTGCAATCTTGTTAAATTAAATCTATGTTGTTGCACTTTATTTTTAGTTGTCAAACACAAATTCCAGCTCTCGGATTATTAATATTCGAATCAATTAGAAGCTAGATTGTTCTATAAATGTAAAAAGTCTGAGCATATTGATATCGGAAACAAAATTATTAGACGTGGAAGTACAACACCTTAGTCCTCAGTATATCTATATAGTACAACAAAGTAATTGAAAAGTCAACGGGAAAAACCCTTTAAACGAATCAATTAGTTTGAAAAATAAACAGGTAAATGTTACTGAAAAATACAAGAGATGACCGTAAACAATTAATCTTAATTGATAGGTAAATCACGCCATTATTTTATCATTTAGTTTAAATGCATCGGTATAATCTCTAAAGCCGATTCTTAATGCCCAGTTGCGCAGCGCCAACGCCAAACTGCGCACGTGCGGGCCGCATCGTGACTCTCACGCAACGGCCACGTCGAAATATAAATCGAAAATCGAATTTTAAAAACACGGAATTTATTCGCTTAGTTTTTGTTCCGGATTTTTTATACGTAATTTGAGTTTTTTTTAATATAATACAATTTATATAAAGTCACTGTGATATTGTATAAATTATTTTGTTTTTATAAAAAGTGGGTTAAATGTGTGATTGATTTATTGGAATTTTAATAGTGAGAGAATATAATATAACGATGTCTCAAGTACCGTTGGTTCGTAAGGCGATAGTGGGAGCGGCGTTGGCCAATGCATCCACTTCGAGCAACCCCAACCCCGAGGTGGGTGGGGAAGGTCAAGAAAATAATTGGACCCCAGCAGCTTTAGAAAGGGCTGGATCCACTTTGAAAGCACTGAATCGCATGGCCAAACGACCACCAGTTCATCTCGTGTTTGAGGATATTTCCTACACCGTTAATTCACATAAAGGTAAGTTTATATATATATATATTTAATTAGTTAATTAATTAATTTAAAAAGTCAGTAGCAGTGAACAATTAATTGGTATATTATATGCAGTTTTAATAATGAAAAGTTGTATAATAAAATGAATTATTATACGACAAAAGATATTAATTATACGTATTTGGAATATGTAGAACAATTATAAGTTTTTTGTCTAGTACTTTTTCGTGTATGTACTGGCTCTGCAATGATCAACAAACCACTGTTACCTTTGGTTTAATCTGAAAATAATTCAAAAACAAACATGGCTGGAATGATGAATGAAATAGTTTTCGTATAATAAAGTCGCGTATGGTTAGACAAGGTTCGATTACCTTTAAAACTCTTTTGCGTCAATCATTAAAATGAATTTACAAACCAAATACACACAATATTGATTCCTGGTTGTAATTTTAATTTTTAATTGACTGATTTTAATGTATAGTTAAAAAGAATAAAGATAATGTTTCATTGTACATATGTGACTTTGTGCGTTATATATATAATCTTTTTTAAGCATATTTTTTTTATGGCATAAGCCGGTAAACGATCAGACGGATATATAATTTTATTATACAATAGTTCTACATTGCATACACATACCATTTAGATCTTATTGTACCTCTACGTTTTGATGAGAATTTTAATTATTAGCTCCCCGTTTTACATTGGTTTATTATATTTTTTTTAATAAATTAATCACAGTAGTTGTATTATAGTATAGTAGTAACATAACATCATCTACGAAGGAAGAAAGTGCATATCACGGTATGTAATGCCAACTTAATAGCTATCAATATTATGAGTCCTTTTCACTATTTACGTCATGAGTCCCATGTAATAAGGGGTGAGCCTATTGCCATATACCGGGCACAATTCTAAACACCAATTTATTTTAAAATTATTATTATTATAGTTTTAGTAGTAGTAGTTATTATACAAAGTATTACTGGGTTTTAAAAAGAATCTCAGTAGTAGCACGGAGTCTGCAATTGTGCCCGGTATATGGCAATAGGCTCACCCCTTATTACATGGGACTCAAAACGTAAATAGTGAAAAGTGGGTGTTACTTCTGTGTGCACCTCTGCCTACCCACTCGGGGATAAAAGGCGTGTTCTTATATTATGTAAAAATGTTACTCAATTTTTATTATATGTAGGTACAAAATGTATCACAACAAAACGTGATGCATGACGTCAGTTTCCGCATATTGTATCGAATTGTAACATTTAAATAATTTCTAGTCTAATCACATCGTTTAAAAATATTCCAAGCATAAAATTACGATTCCATTGAGTAAAAAAAAATTAAGAATAATTTTATAATCGAACGAATGTATTCGCTAAAAAGAATTGGAATAAAATTGATAGATATCTAACACCGTTTTATAAAACCGACTAATCGGCTTTGACGTCACTAAAAGGCTAAATTCGAATTATATTTATTAACTACGTATGTACCCAAAAATCCTTGATTTCAAAACCGGTCTGATTGATTTTAATTTAACAAAACTAGCTTTTACTTACGATTTGATCCTATATCTCAAACTATAGGATCTATTAGGTATGAGGATAAAAGATCATAGAATAGATAAGATAGATCGTATATAATGGATGGATTGATTAACGCAATTTCACATATAAACTTCAAATCATCTGGTACATAGACACACGTTATTAAAACAACTAAACCCTTTTAGAGAAATAATAATATTTACTTACACTATAGTAAAAGTAAATAGAAAAGTAAATATAATGGAACTGCATAAGTCACTGCTGCTGTCGAGAACCTCAAACGGCGAAAGTATAACAGCCTGATCGGCAATCATAGGTATACTTTCGAACCGTTTTTTTTAAGGGGGAAAATCATCGAATGACTGCTCCCGCTTGGGTGAGGCGGACTTTCGAAGCGTTTGGGGTTGAAACTTTACAGCCATCTGGGATACAAGTCCACATCGTCTTTACAAAGATATTGCAAAGAAGATGGTTGACACTTAAAAAAATCCTGGTCAAAGGTTAAGCATTGCCATCCAACGTGCCAATGCTTAGCTTTGGGCACCTCATGACAATGGTGAGGATATTATTTTTGATGCGTTAAGCTGCCATTGTTACTATTTTTTTAAAGGTAATTTTAGATGTAAATATTTTAGTTCTTATATAATGGACTTGACATAAGGTTTGACATAAATAATTTGTAGAATGACATAACAACCTATAACGTGCCTAGTCGCGGAGAACCTAACGGGTAACCGGGACTCCGGCTCGACGTGCAGAAGGAACGGGGTGGTTTTTAGTCAGTAAGAGTCTGACACTCCCTCCCGCCTCACCCAGGTGGGAGCAGTCATTCGACGATTTTCCCCCCTTAAATAAAAAAAAAAATACCGTGCCTAACCCCGTAGGTACATTGATCTGTTTACTTTTCGGATAGTACAGTTTAAGTGCTGATTAACTCGAAAGGATGTTTATGTGAAAAAGCTGATGACTTGCTTAGAACCGATTTATCAATCATTAGTCAATTCTTAACTTAAGAATCAAATTCGCATTTTATTTATTTATTTATTTATTTATTTATTTATTTATGGATTGGAAAACCAACAGCTACACATAGCAAACAAACAGATAACATAATAACAACAGAAAGCCAATTACAGGTTTTCACGAATAGATTTCACATTATTCAATTAAAACAAAACACTCACAGTCCAAACAAATACTTCGTTTAGGGAAAGAAAATAAAAAAAAAAAAAAACAACAAGAGCATATACCAACAATAAAAAACATAAAAAAATAAACACACACCAACCATACTACCAACAATAACAAATTTATATTAAACCAAGTTACCCACTTAATTTTATATCAAATTAAAAAACTGTAGGGTGAGCATCCTTCGCACCGTAGAAGTCCGCGTTACAAACGGATCTATTGGATACTCCTTACACAGGTTGTTTAAGTCTCTGCTTGCACGCACAATAAAGGAATTCTGCCTATACCTCGTTGAGGAATTCCGAATTAAAAGTGGGGGATTGTAACGAATAGATCTGCATGGGACATTGAAAGAGAGCTTGAACAAGAGATCGGGACAGTCAATTTCATTTGAGATGATTTTTAGCAGTGTGGTACAATCCGCTATCCGACGGCGATTGGTAAGGGGCAGAATATGAAACTGCCTACAAAATTCCAGATATTTGTCTGAGCTATATGGAACATGAAGTTTGAAGCAAAGAAATTTAATAAAGCGCTGTTGAATAATTTTAATATGGAAACAGTTTTTAGTATGGAACGATTGTCAAATATTCAAAGTTATTTTTCAGTTACAATTTATATGGCGTTGAAAAATTGGGCCTTAGTTAAGTATATATACCTAATTATTATTACACATTTTTTAATGCCTATAATTAAACTTTTTTAAACCAAAAAATGTTTAAACGTTCATATCACTTCAAACTTTTTTCACTAGGTACTAATACCGACAAAATCTTTTTTTTTTAAAAAACAAGAACTCGTCTTTTGTCAAGGGCATCGAGTTTCAACTAGGAGTAGTTTTACTTATAATATTTTTCTTTCTAAGGGAAATCTTATTAGAGCCTACCAATTTTTTTAAGCGTGGTAATTTGAGCCTTATTTTTTATGTGCCATTTTTTTACCATCGTTCGTGAAAAAACTTCTAGGCAATAAATTAATTAATTTTAAAGTATATAATTAGGTTAGTAGAATAATAATCTAATATGTTTATTCAATATGCAAAATACACTGGCCCAAAAGAAAAAAAAAAACTTATAAAACAAAAATAAATGTGCGAAAATACAAAAACATTTGTATTTTCGGAATAAAAATCTACGTAAAAGTGTAATTTTAAACCAATGCAATCCTAGACATGACGCATTTTAGGTGAACTCTAAAAATGAAATGTTAAATCTCGCATAATATTATTATTGTATAAATCAATGACTTTTTGTCATTTTTTTAAGGGGGAAAATCATTGAATGACTTCTCTCGCCTGGGTGAGGCGGGAGGGAGTGTCAGACTATTACTGACTAAAAACCACCACGTTCCTTCTCCTGCTCTTCGAGCCGGAGCCCCGGTAACCCGTTAGGTTCTCTCTAAGAGTCTGACACTCCCTCCCGCCTCACCCAGGCGAGAGAAGTCATTCGATGATTTTCCCCCTAAAAAAAACCTTCAGATGTGTAAGTACATTATTTGATTAAAAATTAACAAGTCATAATGGTGCACGTTGTGGTCGCAACCACAAACGTGGAGCCTGCCACCACATTAAGTGTTGGTTGCATGTTCACACGCTCACACGTGCAAAGTATGCCAAAGTAAATCTGAAATTTACTGTTTTAGGCTAGTGTTAATTTATGTAGTATTTTTTTTCTGATGTGGTATTGTTGTTGACGATAATTGAAATTGAAATAGAGGTGACTGCATGGTTTTCGCGGTGGCACTACACGGGGGAAAATCCTATGGTGGAGAATATTTATATTATCTTAACTCGTATTAATGGGCGAGCTTACTATGCATTTTTCGTTCGATCTGTGATTCAAAATTTTCGATACCTATTTAGCGTGAACTATTCGGTGTTAATAGTTATAAAATAATATTTGATTCAGTCATACACATGTAAGTCTAATATTTCTTTTTCATATTCCAATCACAGGCAAGCATATAATCTCCAGAAAATTTTGTATTCTGTTATCCTACATTGTAAAGCGACAACCCTATTGTACGAGATACATGTGGTTAATATCATTCAAAAACTATTTTTTTCTTTGAAACTAGCATGATGACTCGGCAAACTTCGTATTGCCTAATTTTTTTTTCACAAACATTTCAAGAACAAAACTAGCCAAATCGGTTCAGCAGTTCTCGAGTTTCAGCGAGACTATATAACAAACAAATTTATTTTTATTTATATAGATAGACTAGCTGAAGCAAATTTCGTACTGCCTATTTTTCTTTTTTCTCACCTTTTAAACCTTCCCT